GATAAAATTAGTAAAGTTGAATTTTGATTTGATAATTTCATTCATGCGAATATTCAACAATTGCCGAGAATTGTTCATGTTTGGATTGTTGTAAAACACACAAACGAGTTGTTCCATTTTAGTATTGTTTTGATCAGTTTTTTGTAACAAAATTGGATTGTTATCAAACATGCATTTAGAAATACTGTAAATTAATATTCTGAATGTGATTGTTGTGGATTTGGTTTAATAAACAAACTAGTTTACTACAACACATGGTAATGGATTACTAAACATCATCATAAATCAGATGGACTGGAGTGGAATGAAATGAAATCAATGACAATCGCATTACAAATAGTGTGTGGTGATTAAACCATCGAGTATTTCCAAATACAAACTTGAATGAAAAGTCTTGCCACAATACTGATCAACTGTATTACTGTTTACACTGTGGTATTATTGATGTATTGGAATATTTGGTGTTCAGATACACAATGATAATGGTAGTACAACTCATGGCAGTTGTACAAACCAAATGTGATTAAAGCCAATAATAATGTCAGACAAGATTGGATAATGAATTAGTGTGTAAATCATCAACATTGACCAAGATTGATTGAAATGGTGATATTGGGTTGGATGGTGATGAACACAATCAATGTGTGTACACTGTTATTCAGTGATTCATTTTACGTGAATACTTTTGTAAATGTATTCAAAACTAGAGTCCATATTCTCACACACAACAAGAACTGAAAAATGCCATCACAGATATTAATCACAAGAAATCTACAAATCCAAGTTGCACAACTATTATGCTTTAACTCGAGTAGATAAACAACCATCAATGTAACAACCTAAAAAACAACCGTCATGTTTTAGTATTTACACTGTAAGCCATTTGTTACAATGTGTAAACCAAAGTCATGTCTAGTGTCTGATCAACTGGTTGTTTGGATCAAAACTGTGTCTGTCCAAGTTGATGATGCGATAAACCAAGAAATACATCAAATCTCGGTAAATGCTGTCACACTTTCCAGATTGCTGAAACTCACATTACGCACAACTTGACATGAATGGCAATGTTGATGTCGAGACTGACAATGTATTACAATGTATTGGTCAACAGTGACTGCAATCAATGATAATATTGCAGTCAATCCAATCCAATTGTTGATTGGAACAATCATTATCCACTTGTCAGATTCAGTATGTAAATGAATGTTTTGTAACACATTTACCAATCCAACAATTGGCTGATTAACAATAATTGAATATTAAAATGTTGAATAAAAGACTCGAGTCATTATATTGAACACATGACAAATGTTTAAACACTTCAAAGTGTGTGAATTTGTCTCACTTAAATTTTGAATGTGAGACAAATTCACGTTTTGTTCTTTTTTTCTTTTCTTTTCTTTCAATAAACTCAAAAATGACCAAATTTTATCTTCAATACAAGAACAACTCTCCAGTGCTTATCGATACAGCCCACGGAAGAGGACCACAAGGAACTCTACCTCTGATTACTGTTTCTCATTTGATTTCAGCTTACAAGACTGCCACCACTCCCCTCCTTGATGCTATTCCTGTTGACGAACTCACTCTTCATTTTGAGGTGTATGGTCCAGCCATTGCTCGATATGGGTTTCTAACCTCTATTCAATATCCTTTTGGTTGTTACGACAGTCCACTGACTATTAAATCCAAGAATGATGTGAATGTTGACCGTCCCTATCAAAGACACTTTGTACAAAGTCGAGCTGATCAAGAATTCATTAAAGCCAATAATTTGAAATTGCAAAACCCAAATGACGCTTTCAAGTATTTGATACATCATCTGGAAAATATTGTCGATGTATCAAGGCTACCAAATAACGCCGTATTTAACGACAATTGCT